CCCCAAAACCCCAAAACCCCAAAACCCCAAAACCCCAAAACCCCTGTATAATCTTCATTTATTGATACATATCTGATAAAAAAGTAATAAAATTTATTAAATGTCTTGGTTATTCGGAGGAAAAAAGAAGAAAACAAAGAAGACTCCCCCAAAAATTGACATCTACAGCACAAAAAAGAAGATTGACGATCAAGTTAAATTCACAGAAATGAAGATTACAAAGCATGAAAAGTTAATTGAAGACCTTAAGCAAGATGCTAAAGCTGCACTCAAGAAGAAGGATAGGAAGAAAGCAATAATGCTGATGAAGAAGAAGAAACTATACGAGGCTGAGAACTCAAAGCTTGAAGGCATGAGGATGATGATGGAACAGCAACAGATGAACATGGATAGAGAAATCAATAATAAGAACGTTTTTGAATGCATGATCGAAGGTAATAAAGCTGTCGAACACCTCACCAAAGAAGCAGACATCGATCAGTTCGAAGACATCAGAGAGAAGCATATAGAGTTTGAAGATAGAAACCTAGAGATCAATGACTTCTTTGCTGGTTATTTGGACGATCAATGTGCTGATGCTGAGGATGATATTCAGGAACTTATAGATGAGATAGAGAAAGAAGAAATGGATAAGATTAATAATATTATCAATAGACCTCTCCCCGCTGCAAAAGTTCACTCGAAAGAAGAAAAGGTTTCCCGTGAAGAAGAAGATTTATTAGCTGAGTTAAATTAATACCTAATCATTTCTAAAACAATTTGGCACCAAACAGTTTATTTCTACACTGTAATGATACAAAATTTCACAAACCTCAATTAAAAACATCACCAAATCTTAATACCTCTCGATTCCCCTCCCCAAACCCTTAGCTTCTATCTCTCTACCACTTATACCCCACATCTACCCAAAAATTCTTTAACAACCCCTCAATCCCAAACCTACAGAACTCCATTTAAACTCACTCAACTATCCATCCCCCAAAAGGGGTTTTGGGGTTTTGGGGTTTTGGGG